TGTGTCACTGGGGATGGGAAGCAGATCACTGGAACTTTGCCTATCCCAGAGTGGGACTGCAGGGCAGGACGAGGAGGTGGGCGTCTTAGATGTGCGTGTTTATGAGTGTATGGCCCTCTGTCTTCCTCAAAAGGGACCCCTGTGGGTGGAGGAGCTGGGGGTTAAGTATGCCAGCCACAGAGATAGCAGAAAAGGAAGGGTAAAATTACACGCAAGCAACGTGACATTCCATGTAATAAGTTGTTTCTAATGTTATAATGATACAGACAAAAAGTTCTTGATTCTTTAAGGAAAATCTCAGAGTAGCAAGCTGTTGGGGAAAGTTGCTGACTTTCTCTACATATACATAAGACCACTATGGTAGATTAGAAAAATGGCCACAGTTATTCATGCCTCCTTATATGCATGCCTTTTGCAAAATGACTCTGCAGGTCTTAAGAGTGGACACGTTTCTGGAATTCCCTGGTGGTCCAGTGGTTAGGACTCTGTGCTTTCACTGCTGAAGGCCTGGGTTCAATCCCTGGTCAGGGAACTAAAATCCTGCAAGCTGTGCGGTACAGCCAAAAAAAAAAAAAAAAAATGTGGACACATTTCCCTGACGCTTTGAATCTAAGCTGGCCTGATGATTTGTTTTGGTCAATAGAATGAGGCAGAAGTGATGTTATATTACTTCCTAGCTTCAGACTCAAGAGGCCTTGTGTGTTTCTGCCCACTTTCTTAGACCCCTGCAACCTCCATTTGAATAAGACCAGACTAGCCTCCTGGAAAATGAGAGACCAAATGGAGCAGAGCCGGTGAGCTGATTCATTTCAGCCAAGGTCCCAGCCATATGCAAGAGCCTGTACAAACCCAAAGCCAAACCTCATCAGACCTTCCAGCTAACCTCCCCAGCTGACTCCAGCAGACACATAATCAAGGCCACCCTAAACCTGCCAGGCCCTCACAGATTCAGTGACTCATGAGCTAAATAAATGTTTATCGTTTTAAACAAACTAACCCCCTAAAAGGGACATGTGCCCTCTTACAAGAGAAGCCTCAGAACAGAAAATATTTAAATTCCCTTCACTCTCAGACTTTCTACTCTTTCCAGATGTAAAGGAATCTCCTCTTTCCCCCTACCTGGATGTGGTGATTCATTCATTCAATCATTCATTCACTTAATAGATTTTTTTTTTTTTTAATGTAAGGCACTTTGACAGGCGTGGTGGGGCACATGGTACAGGGCATAAAAAACACAGATCTGATTTATTATTATCATTTTTAATTTTATTTATTTTTGGTTGCATTGGGTCTTCGTTGCTGCCTGCGGGCTTTCTCTAGATGTGGCGCTCTCTAGGGGCTACTCTTGGTTGCGGTGCGCGGGCTTCTCATTGCTGTGGCTTCTCTTGTTGCGGAGCATGGACTCTAGGCACGGGCTCAGTAGTTGCGGCGTGCAGGCTCTAGGGCGCATGGGCTTCAGTAGTTGTGGCGCACGGGCTTATTTGCTCCATGGCATGTGGGATCTTCCCGGACCAGGGAGCAAACCCATGTCTTGTGCATTGGCAGGCGATTCTTGTTTTTCTTTTTTTAAAAAATTTATTTATTTTACTTATTTATTTTTGGCTGCACTGGGTCTTCATTGCTGCACGTGGGCTTTCTCTAGTTACAGCGAGCAGGGGCTACTCTTTGTTGCAGTGCGTGGGCTTCCCATTGCGGTGGCTTCTCTTGTTGGGGAGCACGGGCTCTAGGCACGTGGGCTTCAGTAGTTGTGGCATGCAGGCTTAGTAGTTGTGGCTCACGGGCTCTAGAGCGCAGGCTCAGTAGTTGTGGCTCATGGGCTTAGTTGCTCCACGGCATGTGGGATTTTCCAGGACCAGGGCTCAAGCCCATGTGTCCTGTGTTGGCAGGCGGATTCTTAACCACTGCACCACCAGGGAAGTCCCAAATCTGGTTTATAGTCTAGTTTGAGTAGAAAGGAAATACACCTGGCCCAATAAGCCACCTCGTACATTCGAATTCAGACAATGTGGGATCAATTTATAGATGCGTGATATCTAGATAGTTACTTAATCTTTCTGAGTTTCCGCTTCCTTATCATCACAAACAGGAATAATACCTGGCTCTCAGCATGGCCAGGAGGGTTAAAAAATTTGTAAAGCTCTGTGCGCATGGGTCAAGGTCACATTCTCCTTCAGATTTTGGGTTGGCACTGAGCACCATCTTTATCACATCAGGATCTCCCCCAAGGAGGGGGGAATCTTCCTGAATCTGAGAGGTGACTGCTTTCAACAGTTCCTCACATAAGGCTCAGTGTAAGTCCAGCCCCCCAGACGGGAATTTGGCATCTCTCCAGCAGCCTGAGAAATTGACTGAGAAGGGAAGGACATACAGAGATCACTCTGCAAATGAAGCCTGATGTGAGCGGTCTCTCCATGGCCACCAAACTACAAATCAAGTGTGGGTGATTCTTATTTGGCTCTCAGCCTTGGCTGGGAGACTGAGCTGCAGGGAAGGCCTCTGGCTGGGGACCTGCCATTCTAAGGTTTTGCCCCAGAAACAGTCCACACGGAGAGCCGGGTCCTGAAGCACAGTCTGAAGATCAGGAAGCAAGCAGTAGTAGATGAACGACAGGGCAGGGGATAAGCCATGAACACCCACCATGTCTTCTTTCTTCCCCTCTCAGAAACCCCTGACCTCAACCAGAACATGCATAATCTAGAAAGAGCACACAGGAAGCTTGGGTCTTGACTTCCCTGGCTGTCCAGTGGTTAAGACTCTGCGCTTCCAACGCAGGGGCACGGGTTCAATCCCTGGTCAGGGAACTAAGATCCCACATGCTCTGCGGCGTGGCCAAAAAAAAAAAAGGAAGCTTGGGTCACCACTGATCCTGCACTTCAGCCCTGATCTTGGCACCCCTCCCAGGCCATAGAGAAGGAAACCAGCCCAAAGGGCAGACAGCTGCAAGTGTGGCTGCAGTATCCACCTAGGTCAGTTACTGCACTGCCCTCCCATGCCTGCTTCTCCTTATCACCAGGGTATGTGAGAGGGGTACAGAGAAGCCAGATTCTATAGAAGTCCCTATGGTGAGAGCTGCAGTGATGTAAGCATATATCCTAATGGCTCTGATGGCCTTAAGGAAAACACTCCCCCCATAGAAACATTTCAGGCAGGACTACTTTGACCTAAATTGAGACACTATTAGAAAATTAAATCAGATACCTGGTAAATGTCTGTGGACTGATGGCTGAATCCCCATGTGTTGTCCTGGGAAAATAGTCATACCTCTGGGCTGTTTGTGCTTGGGAACCTGAATGTCTGAGTGTGTGAGAGAGCTGGGAGGTGAGGGGCAAGCGGGGGGTAAGTGGCAGGGGGCAAGGACGACCAGACCTGCAGTTGAAGGGCTAAAGCCAGAAATCAGTGAGCATGTTTGGGTTGACAACATTGTAACAAGGAGAGGGGAAGGATGGGAGAGGAGAGAGACATAGTGGCCGGGGCGGTGGGGGAGAAATGGAGGCAAAGAAAGGAGACAGGAGATTGAGACAAAAAGACAGGATGAGAAGGAAGAAGACGGCAAACAGGGAAATAGAAGGGCTAAGAGCTGGAGCATCAGAGTCTCAGAGTAGAAGCTGGAAATGAGGAAAACTTTTCTTCTTTTTTGGCCACACTGTGCGGCATGTGGGACCTTAGTTCCCTGACCAGGGATCAAACCTGCATCCCCTGCAGTGGAAGCGTGGGGTCTTAACCACTGGACCACCAGGGAAGTCCCCCAGGAAAACTTATTAAGAAATATCTCCAGAGACTAAAAAAAATGCTCTGTGTTAAAAATCAATCTTCCTATCTGTCTCCCCCATCAAGCTATAGGTTTTGTTTTTATTTTTTTTAATTTATTTATTTTGCCTGTGTCAGGTCTTAGTTGCAGCACACGGGACCTTCGTTGCAGCATGTGGGCTCTTTAGTTGCAGCAGGAGGGCTCTTAGTTGCAGCATGTGGGCTCTTGGTTGCGGCATGCATGTGGGATGTAGTTCCCCGACCAGGGATCGAACCTGGGCCCCCTGCATTGGGAGCGTGGAGTCTTACCCACTGGACCACCAAGGAAGTCCCAAGCGATAGGTTTTAAAGGCAGACATTAGGTTTAAGTCATCTTTATATCCTCTGTGCTTAGCGTAGTGCCAGACACATACTAGGTACTCAATCAGTTGAACAAATAAAATATGAAGAAAAGGCAGGACTTGAAGATAGAAAGGCAGAGACATAGAAGAGAGTGGGTTTGAGCTTAGACTTCAGAGTCATAAGGATGTGCTTTCAAATCCCAGTTCTGCCATCTAACTGCAGGACTTTGAGCAAGACAGCCTTTCCGAGTTTAGAGTTGACCATATAAAGTTGTTTTGAGGTTTAAATGTCTGCAAAGCTCTTAGCAGATAGCCTGTGTAAGTTCCCAACAATGTTAGCTACTGTTATTACTGTTGTCACAGTTGTTGCAAACAAATAAGCGAGATAAGGGCTGTGATAAATGGATTGCATGAAAAGCCCCCAGTTAATGACTCTGCCCTGCCACTTTGTAGTGCCTTTCCACTCTAACTCTGGGTCTGGCCATGTGACTTGCTTTGGCTGATGGGACAATGGTAAACGTGATGCAAGCAGAGGTGCAGGGTGTGAAAAAGACTGCCTATCTTTGACTCCTCACTTGGAACTCTGCCACTGCAGGCTAGCACTGCTGGAAGGATGCCGGAGACATGCAGAGGACAGCCAAGGTGTTCCAGCTGAGGCCATCGTAGATCAGTCATCCCCAACCAACCCACCAACTATTACCGATGTATGAGCGAGCCCAGGGAAGGTCAGCCAGGTCCATCCCAGATCAGCAAGACCACTCAGCCCTGACCCCCAGACTTATGTGAAATAATCAATAGTTGCTATTTTAAGCCACTAAGTTTGGAGTGACTTGTGACAGCAATAGCTATAGCCGATATAGGGGCCTCAGAAGCCCTAGTCCTCTAAAGTTGAAAGGCAAATGAGAGAGGAAGTCATGGTCTGCCAGGTTTTATTTGTAGTCTGCTGTATTTGTACCAGAGAAAGCTGCAAAAAGTGCTTTGGAGAGTCACAGGGAAGGGATGATAGAAGCAGGTCCCCTCACCAGACCCCACGGGAGCCCTTCAGGTGGAGGGCAGACCTGAGATGGGAGGCAGCTGGGGACAAGTCCAGGCAGGCAGCAGCAGGGCTGCGACTAGAAGAGCTGAGGCCAGAGGGGTAGGGCTTGCCCTGGTCGGCCTCCCGCAGGTCTCAGGTCCTGGGGTCATATATCCGCCCCATGAAGACCGGGAACTTGTGCTGCTGGTCCCAGAGCACAAAGAGGAAGGGCTGCTGCACTTCAAAGACCAGCAAACTGCGGGCCACAGAGATAGCGGAGGCTGCAGCCGCCTCCACGCCGCTCTCTGTCAGCTCCAGCATGGACTGATGCTGCATCGCAGAAAGCTGCAGATCCGGGTCCTCTGTCAGCCCGCACAGGTTGATGTTGTAGGTAAAGTCAAAGAATTCTAGGGCATAACCAGAGAAAAACAATAAGTCAAAGACCAGCACGATTGTACAACACGGGGAATACAGCCAATGTTTCGTAGTAACTGTAAATGGAAAGTAACCTTTAAAAATTGTACAAGAGGGACTTCCTTGGTGGCGCAGTGGTTAAGAATCCACCTGCCAATGCAGGGGACATGGGCTCGAGCCCTGGTCTGGGAAGACCCCACATGCTGCAGAGCAACTAAGCCCGTGTGCCACAACTACTGAGACCACACGCCACAACTACTGACGCCCGCGCACTCTAGGGCCCACGTGCTGTAACTACTGAGTCCGCGCGTCTACAGCCCGTGCTCCACAACAAGAGGAGTCACTGCAATGAGAAGCCCGCACGCCGCAATGAAGAGTAGTCCCGCACTCGCTGCAACCAAAGAAAGCCCGCGTGCAGCAACAAAGACGCAATGCAGCCAAAAAATAAAACATAAAATTGTATAAAAATTTTAAAAGTTAAATTAAAAATTACTAATTTAAAATATTTTTAAAAATACTGCAATTGAAAAAAAACCCAGCACAAAACCCTCAGCTGTTGGAGACGTTTGTCCTGAATTTTCTGGGTTTGTCCCAAGTTCCAATTCCCTCTTTCTCCTCCTCCTCCTTGTTTATCAAATTATAATCGCATTATAATGTGCCTTCCGGTCCAGTTCATGGGATCCTCTAACAGTGGGCCCGTCTTCACTCCAACCACCACTTTCTCTCAAGTGGTGAGAAGCCTTGCCCCCGACCCCCAAAACCCTGAAAAGTGATGCCATTGCTTCCTTATCAACAAGGCCCTTGGAAGTGAGGTAATGTATTGGAAAGAGGACATATGTTCTCAAATGAGGTCACATACAAGGGTGTGATGTCATACCCTTGTATGACAAGGGTCATACAAGGTCATCTATTAGGAAGTCAAGTTCTATAACAGAAAATGAAGTGATATATTTGGACATGACATCAAAGATCAGGAAGTGAGGTCTAAGGTTAGGAAACAGAGTATCTGTTGACTCCCCTAAACTCAGAAGCCTCCAGACCCTTTTAGTAGAGAGCTTCTTGCATATACTGTGGGGTGGTTGAGTTTTATGACATGTCTCTGAGGGAGGAGCATCCACTCCCACCTCGGTGACCTGTTCCCAGGGTCTATGTCACAAGGGACTGCAATGGAAACAGTTGGGATGGCTGTAGACCTATATTGGGGCCCTGGCTCACTTCTAGCCAGCTTAAGGGACCTTGCGTAAGTCACGCAAACTTTCTGAGTCTCAGCTTCCTCCACGATTCAGTGGGATAATCAGAGGATTGAGGGGCAACCTGAGATTACGGATGAGAGGATTCACGGAATTCCTCCACCCCCAGCCCACCATCACAACCTCTTCTCCTCTGATGGCCTAGGATCAGTCCTGCCAGGGCTCACCCAGCAGGTCCTGGTTGCTCTTTACTTTGATGCGAGGTATCATCAGGTGAGTAGGATGGAACTTGGCCGACTCCAGCTTCCTCATGATGGCCTTGAAGACAGGGGGGCTGAGAGCCTGCTCCATGTCTTCAAGACGGTGTTTCAAGGTCTGGGGCACCAGGATCACAAAGCTCAGGTTGTGGGACAGCTGCAGACGGCCCACCTGGAGAGTAAGACAAGCACACTGTCAGTCTTCCTACCCCAGCTCTCTCCTGGCTCCTACCCTCTGTGTCCCGAGGCTGGTCTTCAGTCCGCTGCCACAGTCTGTACTATTTCAACAAGCAGCGGCCATAACTAGGCTCCCAGGCTTTGCCATGAGAGGAGGACGCCAGCTGGGTGAACAGCGCTGCTCTAACCCTGTGCTGGCGAAAGGCAGAGGAATGAGCACGAGTTGTTTTTGGTTTTTTTTTTGTGGTACGCGGGCCTCTCACTGCTGTGGCCTCTCCCCTTGCAGAGCACAGGCTCCGGACGCGCAGGCTCAGCGGCCATGGCTCACGGGCCCAGCCGCGCCGCGCCATGTGGGATCTTCCCGGACCGGGGCACGAACCCGCGTCCCCTGCATCGGCAGGCGGACTCCCAACCACTGCGCCACCAGGGAAGTCCGAGCACGAGTTTTGATCACACAGGCTGAGCATCACATCCTGACTCTACTGATGAGTAACTATGCACTACAGGCAAGCAATTTGATCTCTCTGAGCCCAGTTCCTTTCAAGTACGTTGTGCATAAAGTATATAATGTACATAATGTACCACCACAGTCATCAGGTTCGTCCTTTCAAAGACTTTTGGTGGCTTTTCACTGCCTACGAGATTAAGTATAAACTCTTGGTCTGGCATTCAAGATTGGGTACAAGCTGATCCTAGCCTACCTTTTCAGTTAGTTTCACTAGAAGGACTTACAACTGATGGCCAGATAGAAGTGTGAGAGAAATGCAGGACCCACAAGTCCAATACAGGGGTGTTCTCAGCTCAGGGCAAATTTGCCCCCAGTGGACATCTGGCAATGTTTGGAGCTGGCAGAACCAGGAGCTCACAGTGCTACTGGTATCTAGTGGGTAGGAGCCAGGGATGCTGCTAAATCCTACAATGCCACGGACAGCGTCTTATAATGAAGAATCATCGAACCCAAAATGTCAATAGTGCCAGGACTGAGAAACTAATAGGATATAAGAGATTATTACTGAAATGGCATTATGGTTGAGGTTGAGAGATGGACAAGAATAATCTAGAATGCAGAATTCAATTGGGCAATGAAGAAATTAACTGAAAACAATCTATTGTTGGAATTGAAAAAATGGTCCACAAGAAGCAGGTTGTACACTGATTTATCACCTGAAGAGCATGGACATGGGGATACCTGTTGACAGAGGCTCTAGACAGGGTACACTCATCTGGCAGTACACACCCTTCATGTCCTGTGTACAGACCTTGCCTCTGTGACCAAAAAATTACCACACTGTGGTCTTGAATTTTCAAGCCAACAACCTCAGCATACCTGGGTTGGTAAACCTAACCCCCTTCATTGGGTAAATACTCTTTAAATCCCAGGAAAATTTAGAATGAAGTATGGGAATAACAAAATAAGCCAACTCTGTAGTATTAACACCAGGTGATAAGTTCAGAGCAATCTGTGTTTGTTATTTAAAATAGTGTTTATAATTTTTAAGAGAATCAGACACGCTAGTTTTATGCTTTTGAACAAAAAGGTGTGGGATAATTTCATTTGGTTTGAGAATGATGTTGAGATGTTGACTGAAAGTTGATTTACTCTTCAGATTGAATTTTCAATTCACAAGTGGGCTTTAGGTGCTAGCAAGATATGGCCAAGCAGGGCTGTAATTCTGTTCTGTCAGGTATCTGACATGCTAAAAGAGAAAATCACGTATATCAAATGTATGAAGTATTTATAAAGTATATACATAAGCGCAAAATGCTTAGGGGAATATTAATTAACCATATTTGTAAATGAAACAAATGGTTTAAAGGAGTTTAATCTGTTCAAAATAGCTTAATTGAAGAACAAGTGAAAGTTAGTGTTTTATATAAATATTATGATTAATAATGTAGCAAATTCAGCTAAAAATTTAAAGGCTTAAGTAAAACTTTGATTTTGAATTTATAACATGAATATATTAAATCAAGTATTTGTTTAAAACCCACGGAACTGTAAGGAGTGGGTTTTTTTTGCATGAAACTCCTTCTTTGCCATTAAAAAATCCTCACATTGGGGCTTCCCTGGTGGCGCAGTGGTTGAGAATCTGCCTGCCAATGCAGGGGACACGGGTTCGAGCCCTGGTCCGGGAAGATCCCACATGCCGCGGAGCAACTAGGCCCATGAGCCACAACTACTGAGCCTGCGCGTCTGGAGCTCGTGCTCCGCAACAAGAGAGGCCGCGATAGTGAGAAGCCTGCGCACCGCGATGAAGAGTGGCCCCTGCTTGCCGCAACTAGAGAAAGCCCTCGCACAGAAACGAAGACCCAACACGGCAAAAATAAATAAATAAATTAATTAATTAAAAAAAACAAAAAAACTCTCACGTTGATATTCTCCCCCATATACTCTGAGTTCGAGTGATGCCCTGAAGCGGCCATATGTATTCAGTCTTCTCTGCCTTATGCATGTATTCTGGTTCTGTTAAATAGCTGGGAATGTTCAAAGCCATTGGATAGGGACGGATGGATGGAAGGGTAGAAAAGTGCATGAATGGTTAAGAGTGGTCAAAAGTACCCACGTCTGTGACGTCTTCCTAGCCATTCATACTAAGGGAGTTGCTCCCTTTCGCATCTTCCATTGAATTCATTCATTTATTCAGCAGACATAATGAGCACTTATTATATGTGGTATTGTTCTAGGCCCTCAGATATAGTAGGCAAAAAAAGAGGTAAGGTCTCTGATCCCAAGGAAAGAGACTATCTCAGGGAGATAGATAATACTGCAATCAAATAAGCAAGTAAACAACATAATTCAGATAGTGGTAAGTACCATGGATATAATAAAACAGGATGGGCTTCCCTGGTGGCGCAGTGGTTGAGGGTCCGCCTGCTGATGCAGGGGACACGGGTTCGTGCCCCGGTCCGGGAAGATCCCACATGCCGCGGAGCGGCTGGGCCCGTGAGCCATGGCCGCTGGGCCTGCGCGTCCGGAGCCTGTGCTCCATAACAGGAGAGGCCACAGCAGTGAGAGGCAGGCGTACCACAAAAAAAATTAAAACAAAAACAGGATGATGTTACAGGGTGAGGAAGAGGTACTTTAAGGAGGGGGAAGGCGTCTCCACCCAGGTGGCCTTTTAGCTGATGCCAGATGAGCAGAAGGAACAAGTTATGTGAAAAGCTGAGTGAAGAGCGTCCAGGCAGAGGGAAAAGCTAGGGAAAGCTCCCGAGGTGGAAACAAGCCTGGCATGTTCCAGAACAGATCCTCTATTTCTCAGACTGGTACCAAGCCACTGGGTATCTCCCATTGTTTGCTGTCTCATAGTTCTGTGTCTTGCTGTCCTAACAAGGCAGAAATATCTGGTCATCGGGCATGAGAGAGTTTACTAACTAGAATCTTCTGGGCTCCATGTTCTCTCTTCCCTCCCTCCTCATCCACTGAAATCATACTGTTCAATTTCAGCTAAGGAACTTAAGCCATTTAACACATGCACTTACCACATACATGAATGCACGGATATACCTAGACGTGTGTACACATACAGATGCATGCCGTACACACGTACACACACAGAGGCCTTACTAAGCCAGCAGGGCCTACTGGTGGGTAGACTGGAAAGAGAGACAGAGGCACAGAATAGGAACACGACTCACTTTCTGCCATTCAATGCAGTAGAGATGCATGAAGAAATTTTAGCATCCTGCTTTCCAACCTCAAATATATAATGCCTGCCTCGGCCAAGGCTGGAGAGGGGGAGAAGGAGAAAAGATAGGGTGGAAATAGAGTCAGAAGCAGTTGAAGTGATGAATTAAGGGTAAGGCTATGCCCCACACCGATGGAGCCACAGCAGGAAAGTCAGGATACGCAAGAGGCTCTGAAACAGGAGTGCGAAGGGCCAAGAACTTACCTTGGCCTTCAAAGTCGGGTCTGTGAAATGGGCCACAGGGTACTTCTTGCTATTCATCATGGGCACTTTTATCACAGAGGATCCACTGTAAAAGCCCTTCGTATTTGTTCTGCTGTGGTTAAATGTTGTCTTCCACTTGGCTAGAGGGAAGAGTGGGGGAAGGGTTACTCTAATGCAGGTGGGGAGAGGATGAAGCGGAGTTAAAGGTTCTGTTAGCAAGGGGTGGGGCAGGTACCATGGGATCCAGTCATGGAACTTGGGGTTGAGTGGGTTTTAAGCCAGGAGGAGAAGGTGGAACTCAGGACGGGAAGACACCCTGGTCCAGGGCCCCCTTACCACTCAGGTAGATAGCGTTGAGAAGGACCAGGCGGAAGTCATCGGGCAGGCTGTCTAGCAGTTGCCTGATCTTGTGGTTGGTCTTCTTGGCCACCCAGGCGTTGATGAACTCCAAGTTGACTTTACTGTCATTTGCCAGGGCTTTGGGGCTGTTGCCATACAGGCTCTGAGAGGCATTCGCAAAGGTGTCCCTTATAGCCAGGTCTGGCAGCAGAAGCAGGTTGAGAGAGGGAGGCATGAGATCCTGGAACACTCTCTCCCCTTTCAAGAGCAGGCTTGGAGAGGGAGCTTGTTTCCCATCACTCTTTCTGCTCCAATGGACATACTATGTCGGAGCAGGGGTCCAGCCCAGCCCTCTTACTGATGTGCTCAGTGAGACCCAGAGAAGGCAAATCCTGAGCTAAGAGCCGAAGAACTCATCCCAGGCTTTAACTGCCTCTATCTGCCATGGGACCACGGCTTGGCAAGGTAACTCTTTGAGATCTTAACTTCCATTTGCCTGTATTTTCCCTCTTTTCTTCCCTTAATTCAACAGGGAACAGACTCTGCTTTTCAGCCTCACTGGAAGGTGTGTGACAAGACTTCCTGGGTTTTGCTCTCCAAAGCCCAGGTCCACTAAAGAAAAAAAGTGTTTGAAAGAGAAATTTTTCCTGGACTAAATAGATAATATTGAATGCAGCTGTATTTTCCACCAACCTAGCAAGACAGAGGATAAATCCGATTTATAGCAAATAAGTAAATGCAACATTTCTTGAATCCCTCTAAGCCATATTTTTCCCATCTCTAAAAAGAGGGTTTTTTGGGGTTTTTTTTAGACAATGGTGTGATAGGTGAGTTTTCTTTCTTTCTTTCTTTTTTCTTTCCTATATGTTCTCAGGTTATTTTTCTGTTTGTTGTATTTTTTTTTTTTTGGCCACGCCGAGCGGCATGCAGGATCTTAGTTCCCCGACCAGGGATCGAACCCATGGCCCCTGCAGTGGAAGCACAGAGTCCTAACCACTGGACCACCAGGGAATTCCAATATTTTCTCAGTTTTCTACAATGAATGAGCATTGCTTTTATAGTAAAAAAAATAAAAGACAGGGAAATTTTTTTCCTTATTCAAAGAGGAAAATCACACTAAATTTGTAATTTTTAAGCTCAGCAGAACTGAGGTTTCAAATATAGTCATGTCTGAAGCCCACAATACAAAAGGGCTCTGGTTGAGGCTGGTGGGAGTTCAAAGCCCACCTGGCTTCATCTCCCTCTCACAGGAAGTGACACCTCACTTCCCACTCAGCCTCCCTAACTCCTTACTCCCACCAGGACTTGTGCAGCAGCTCTGCAGAACCCTAGGGCTCTGGGGAGCAAAATTTGAAAGAACTGCATTAGGTCATTTTGGAAGCTTATTGCTCTGATTACCTACCTAATAATGTAATATACATAAATGACAACAAAGTCACATAACACGAAAGTACAAAGAATAGGAGTCCCAAGACCCCCTGACCCAGATTAACAAACTTTTCTTTTCGGCCTTGCAGCTTGCAGGATCTTAGTTCCCCAACCAAGGATTGAACCCGTGACCACAGCAGTGAAAGACGAGAGTCTTAACCACTGGACCACCAGGGAACCCCCAGATTGACAGGCATTTTTTGTCTATTTTATGTCTAAAGCTCTCCAGCCCTCTCTATTACTGAATGCAGAAGGCTATTCTTTTTTTTTTTTTTTTAAAGAAGATGTTGGGGGTAGGAGTTTATTAATTAATTAATTTATTTTTGCTGTGTTGGGTCTTCATTTCTGTGCGAGGGCTTTCTCTAGTTGTGGCAAGCGGGGCCACTCTTCATCGCGGCAGAAAGCTATTCTTACTTTAGATGGAGTTGATGAATGCAGATGACTTGTCCAAGGTCTCACCAGGGGACCTATCCAGCTCCCAGGAGCCACCTGATATTTCTGAGGCCCCAACCTGCTCTGCATTCCATCCCCCTGTTCTAGTTCTAACATTCCCTCTGTCCTCTCTTTCCCCAGTGCTGGGTCTCCATCAAAATCCTGAGGACCCAGCTCAGCACCTGCCATCCTTCCCCGGGGAACTCACCTGGGCTGTGGAAGATTTGAGAGACTGTGGTAAAGCCTTTGGACCTGGAGGCCTTCAGGGCCTGGTGGACACAGGTAAAGTCTTTGGGGTAAGAGAGGAGTCGCTCCAGGCTTTCCTTGGTTTCTCCTCTAGCCCCTACAACAAACAGCAGAGACAAGGGGCAACTGCAGGAGGAGTGGAAAACCACCGTTGGGGACCAGGGTTGAGGGACCAGGCTGCAATGGGGGGAATCCCATATCATCAGAGCCGGAAGTGTTTGGGAAGATAATGTCAGAAAGAGAAGGGTGGGGGAATTATGAATAATCACAGGATTTTCTAGGGCTTTGAACACTTTCTTCCTCCGTTTTCCTACCTAACTCTAATACCACTCGTCATCCAAAGCCTGGTCCAGTCACTGCCCAGTCCACAGGACCTATTATTTAGTTGGTTCAGGTTTACAAAGGTTCGCCTTATAGGCAGGGACACTAGATTATGGTTAAGAAGAGACGTCAGGAAATCGCAAAAGAGGATGCATGTTCAACACCCTTTCCGTTTTTCATTATTGAATACTTATTGTACACATCTTCTGCGCAGTAATAGATAAAATGTATCGAGCACTTACTTCATTCCAGGCATCGTAAGTGCTTCCCCCATATTATCTCATTGACTCTTCACCATAACCCTTTTACGTAAGGACAGTTCCTATCCCCGTTACACAGATGAGAAAACTGAGGTTTAAGAGAGTAAGTAATCTACTCATTTTAAGATCACAGAGTTAATAACTGGAGGATGGAGAAAAGATTCAAGCCATATCTTTTGGGCAATAAAAAAATTAACTGAAACCAATCAGTTGAAATGTGCCTCCCAGGGGACATTTGGCCACATGTGGGGGCATTTTGGCTGTCATAACTGGGCGGTGGGGTGCTACTGGCATCCAGTGGGTACAGGCTAGGGATGTTAGGATTCTGGGACTACAGAAGAAAGGTTCTTATGTGCTCACTGTGTTGTCTCTAGTAGCCTTCCTGGAATTCCCCCTTGGAGTGACAGCTGTTTCCACTGCTGTAGCACTTTGTTGGTGCCATTCCTAGGGTAATTACCCCAGGGGACTTGATTGTGATCTCTCAGGAAAGCAGACGAATTAACATTTTTTGACCTCCTACCACATCAGGCACTGGGCTATCTGCTTTATTTTTTTTAGGTCACTACAACCATTTCCATTTTACACAGAAGGACTCAGGCTCAGAGAAGTTAACTGATCTGCCCAAGGTCACACAGCTAAGAAGCAGCATTATCATGATTCTACTCTGCATCTCTCTCTTATCATTCATCTTCCTTATGGCCTTACCTTGAACCATGATTGGTGGCTCAGACCTTATTTTATATGTCCTTGTACAGTCCATAGGATTTTATAAGCAATAGTGCCTATTACATCATTGTTAAATGAAAGAAAGTTCCAGAATAAAAAGATTCCCCTCCCTCACCCCCAATGTAGCCCATTTTTACAGCTTCCTTCCAGAGGCATAGATAGCTGTGCATGTATCTGGATACGTATCCCCCTCATGCGAACATCTAACACATAACCTGGAGAGAACTCAGTCAGGTTCTTACCGAGCAGGACTTGAGTGAGGAGGCTGGCGATGCTGAACGGGGAAAAGACAATGTTGGTCTCCTCCTCCTTCATTACTGAGAAAGTGTGGTAGAGATTCAGGGAGAAATCTGTCAAAGCCTCCCCCAGCACGGCCTCTGCTGAATGACTCTCCAAGTCAGAGCAGGAGGTGACAGGTGCTGGGCAGAAGGGCTTAGTCGTGGCCTGGGTTGTTGGTTGGATGGGTTGAGTGGTGGACTGGTTGAAGGGCTGGGTGGTATTGACTGTTTCGATGGTCAAGTTGGTTTTCAGCAGCGTGGAAGAGCCCTCGGTGTCTTTAATGGATACATTGTTGGGAATATCTCCTTTGGGGATATCTCCTTCACTTTCCCCTCCTTGTAAGCTCTCTGGATCCACGGGGCTGATACCAATCAGATTTGAGGAGGCTCTATCCTGTGGTTCAAGAGACTTTCTTTCTTTTATTATGAGGCACAGTCCCCTTCAAACACTCAAAGCAAGAAGAGAAGGTGGGCTACCAGAGAATTATTCCTGGGAAAGCCTGGTGGCAGAGGGGCCTGCCCTGGAGCCACCACCAGTAATTCCTTCAGAGAAAGCGTGTATTATCCCATTTCACTGGTAAAAGAAACTGATGCTGAGACAAATTAAGTAACTAGCCCAGGGTCTCAAGGGAAGTGGAAGGAAAAACTAGGAGTCAAACTTGGGTCTGATTCCAGATCCTTGATCACTACCACATCATCTGATACATCTCAAAGGGCACTGCCAGTGTCAGCTTCACACACATACACCGAAGGCACACGCCAAAGTTAGGCACCCACCTTTGTCCTGGGCTCATCCCTTAGCCCTGACCTCCCAGACCACGGCGGAGAGCCTAGGTCTCGGCAGCCCAACCTCCATTCCGCAGCTCAGTTTTCCTCAACAACCCCTTGCTTTTAATATCGCAAAATGCTGCCCATCTCCTTCCCCTCTTTGATCCTTCTGCTTTGTTCTCCACTTCGTAAATCAGGACAGGGAGCCTCGGAGAAGTGACTGGCTCAAGGCCACCGCAGCTGGTACCGTGCGTGGGTCTGAATCCCGCTCTTCCCATGCTCTGTACGAACTCCGGCGCTAGGATCACACTTGCTGAGCCCAAGAGGAGCTCTCCTCATTCTCCGGAGCCTGAAGGGTTAATCCTCAGCCCCCTCCCCCCCCAGCCCCTCCCCCACCTCACGAAGGGGTCACTCACCCCAGCCAGCAGCAGCAGCAGGAGGGTCAGTGGGGTCAGCCTGGAGGCCATCTGGGCGGCGACGTCAGCCCAGACCTGCAGAGCCAGCCACCGTCGTCGGTGCCAGCTCCGAGCCTCGGGCCTAGGGGGCCTCCACCCCGCCCCGCCCCACCCCGGGGCCCGCCCCCATTCCATTCGCGTCCCTAACCCCTCTCTGCGAATCCCGCCCCCTCCCTCCTCCGTGCCGGGGCCACCTTCTCCCTGGCTCCTCCCCCTGTTTTGTTTTCCCCAAACCGCTTCCCTTTCCCGGCACCGGCTGGCCCTTCCTTTCCCCCCAGCCCCGGGTCTCCGTCCATCTGTTCCATCCAGAGGGTCCTGCTTTTGCTAAACAATGAGGCCAGGGGCCCTGCTAGGAGGGGAGGTCCAGAGGGGGCTGGGCACAACAGCCCTGGGGGAGGAGATGGAGGGGAAGGAGGGGGAGGCAGAGGTCTTAAGAGGAAGCAAGCAAACAGAGACTGCAGAGATAAAGGGGGGGGCGAGGCACTGTGGAGGAAAAGGAGATGAGCATGAGGAGACCTCCTTCTCCCGACACCCTTCTCCCCAGCACCAAACCTGCGCCGAACTCCCGGTCACTGGGCAGCTTCAGGGCAGACTAAGTGGATAGTCACACACCGTCGGGGGGGGGGGGGGGGGGGGCGGCGTGGGGGCGGGTGTTCGGTCTTAGCTATTGGCTGGCCCAGGACACTGCCCAGTTACAAATTAAGGCTGATTGATCGCTGGTGTGATTTCCCGTAAATCAGGACGGGACGGATACTGCTTCGTAAGCCAGGCGGGGAATTTAGCCCAAAGCCCCTTGGGAGCCGGGGGTGGGGAAGCTTGGGTGCACCTCTCAGCTGTACACGACCAAGCCTCCTCCTGCATCTTTATGGGTCATGATAGAAACAGCACAGACACAAAATGTTCTCCACATTTCACAAGCAACCAGCTTTCCCGGAATTGCTCATCTCAGTGGATCCTCAAAGTAACCCTTTGGAAATAGGCCCGATTGTGCCCATTTGATAGTTAAGAGCCTTAAGTGGCTGGCTCACTTGGAGAGCCCTCACTTGAAAATAAGGCTGGACTGGACCTCCTGAGGTCCTAACCTCACCCCCACTCTCCTCCATGGGTGTTCTGCTTCTCCTCTTGGAAACCCGGAGTTCTTCCATTCTGTAACAGACAAGGAATCTGAAGCACCCAGTCCAGCGAGCATTCACCTTAAGTGAAAAACACAAAGCTGGGCTATATGTGTTGAGGGTGGGAGAGAGTGGCCTGGGAGCCAACAGACCTGGCTGTGAGACCTGGCTTGCTGTGTGACCCTGGCAAGTTGTTTTCCCTCTCAGCACCTAGCTCCCTTCTCATGGTTGCCAGATAAAATACAGGAAGTCCAGTTAAATTTGAATTTCAGATAAACGAAAAAAAGTTTATTTGGAAATATGCCCCACACAATATGGGGCCTACTTATACTAAAAAAAATAGTTTTGGGTCTTTTATCTGAAATTCAGATTTAACTAGACATTCTGTGTCTTATTTGCTAAATCTGGCAACCCTACCTCTGCAAAACAAGGTGATCTCTGATGACCTGATACAGCTCTGATGTTCTATGATCACCTCACTGCTGGGCCTGTCCTATTTGGCACATTCTGGAAAGTTGGCTGCTAGCGCCAGAACTGCTACTCTAAGGGGTTGACCAAGGACAGAAACGAGAGAGAATATTTGTGTGGTTCCTTGGGGGTGGGGAGGGGTGTCTTTGGAAAAGACAAAGACACCAGCTTTGCAGGTACTTCATTCCCTGCAACCACTGGGGAACCTCCAAAGTCATGGGGAAGTTCCTTCACGTCAGTGCCATGGTTGAAACAGCTGCGCACACAGTGCCACTTCTCCATCCCCAGCGCCCAAGGTGGGGCCTTCGAACTTGTGGGTCAGCCAAACAAAAAGAAGATGATGGAAATCAACGTCATTCATCCTTTCATTAATTCTCATGGCACCAGTGAAGTGGGTGCTAATATTAATCCCACCTGAAATCAAATTTTTAAAATATGAGACTCACTCAGAAATTATTTGATTCATCCAACATCACACAGCTAGTAAGTGACAGAGCCAGGATGTGGACCACATCTCTCTGAGCCCGAAATCCTGTATTAACAGGATTTATATATGGCCTCCTGGCACGTGCCAGGAGCTAGCCTAAAGCCAGCAGCAGAGTGAACATCCTGTGTCCGGCTGCAGGACTGTGGTGCTCCGTGGACCAGAGTCTCAGCATGGACCAGGACCAGTGGAGAGGTCTTCCCGACCTCCTTTAGGCATCTCAGCTCTCTGGCCAAAGCCATCTCTTCTGGACATTTAGAGGGTGTCTCTGCTTTGTGGATACTGTTCTGCCTGATGAAACTGGAGCGAAGCTGAAGCCCTTCCTCAAAGTGAATGGCCTGAGGTTGACTTAATCAGGTGTTTGCACAATTTCTCCTTAGTGTGGGCGATCCGATAGTCAATCAGCTTAGGGTTGTGGATTCAGTCCTTTCCCCACCATTGGGGGCAGGTCCTGGGTTTCTCTGCCATTAGAACCTTCCCTTCCAATGGGTGAGGAGGGATAAGCCCACAGGAAGCTCTTTCTCCGTGTCATATGTGTACATGACTTTTCCCAGGGGTTCCTGGTGGTGGATGAGTTCTCACTAAAGCTCTTTCTGTACTCAGAGAGGTTCTTTTTTTTTTAGATGTTGGGGGTAGGAGTTAATTAATTAATAATTAATTTTTGCTGTGTTGGGTCTTTGTTTCTGTGCGAGGGCCTTCTCTACTGCAGCAAGTGGGGGCCACTCTTCATCGCGGTGCGCGGGCCTCTCACTGTCGCGGCCTCTCTTGTTGCGGAGCACGGGCTCCAGACGTGCAGGCTCACTAGTTGTGGCTCACGGGCCTAGTTGCTCCATGACATGTGGGATCCTCCCAGACCAGGGCTCGAACCCGTGTCCTCTGCATTAGCAGGCAGATTCTCAACCACTGTGCCACCAGGGAAGCCCTGTACTCAGAGTGTTTTATCAGGTTTTTCCTCTTGGGTGAATCCTCAGATACAGAAGGTACAAATTGCTGTGGGTGAAACGCTTTCTCAAAATCTGTACACCTGTAGTTTCTCCTCTGAAAAAAATTGCCCCAACCTTGGAAATTGGGCAGAAGAATTAGGGTCACCAGATTCTCAGAAGACAGAGAATCATTTGGGTGATTATTTCCTCATTTCTCTCACAGATAGCGCACAACTAGTACCACTATAGATGCAGAGAGAGGTCGAATGATTACGTACAAAGAATGTCTTGGGCAATAGGGCTCAATCCTCTCTTCAGAACCCTGGCTGAGGAATACCATTCGAGGAGAATAAAATTTTCTTTGATTTCTTATTTACTATAGATCAGCGCCCAGAATCTGTAATGTCAGATGTTGACCTGCCAAAAAGGAAAAGATGCAAATATTTTTTGTCTGGGAGAGATGAGAGTGAAGTGGAAACATCTCTTCTGATTAGCCCTACCAGGTAGAGCAGGTGCGCAAATTCACCTAGGACGTGTGTGACATGAGCCAACCATTTCTCTTATGTATGCACAGCAACACACCACCTACTCGACTACACACACACACACACACACACACACACCCACACCCACATAACGTCAAAGATCGGAATGGTAGTTACTAGGGATGGGTCGGGGGTGGGGATGGGGAATTATTGATCAATATACATAAAGCTTTGGTTAGGGACTTCCCTGGTGGCACAGTGGGTAAGACTCCATGCTCCCAATGCAGGGAGCCTGAGTTCGATCCCTGGCCGGGGAACTAGATCCCGCATGCATGCCGCAACTAAGACCCGGTGCAACCAAATAAATAAATATTAAAAAAAAAAAGCTTTGGTTAAGTAAGATGAACAAGCTCTAGAGACCTGCTATACAACATCGTACCTATAGCCCACACCAATGTACACTTAAAATTTAGGAGGATAGACCTCATGTTAAGTGTTATCACGATAAAATAAAATAAAATAACCCTCGATTTTCATCTTCCTGTCAGTCTACCGGTAGGAGGTAGTGGGGTGTGAGAGACAAAGACCTGGATTAGATCCAAATAATTATTGAGAAACAAACACCCAAACCCCAGACTCACAACCTATTTGAAGGCCCTGTAAGACCAAAGAATACAAAGCTTTTCTGGGTAGAACAGAAACAGATGGTGACTCCTAATGGGTGTCCTAAATGGGCTCCTTTCTTTCTTCCTTCCTTTCTTTTTAAAATATTTATTTATTTTAGCTGCGCCAGGTCTTAGTTGAGGCATGCAGGATCTTTAGTTGCGGCATGTGTGCGGGATTCTAGTTCTCCTACCAGGAATCGAACCCGGACCCCCTGCATTGGGAGCAAGGAGTCTTATTCACTGGATCACCAGAAAAGTTCCTCGTTTATTTCTTTCTAAGGAAATTTTATATCATGTTTTCAAAGTTATCACTACAATGTCACATGCGTACTTTGTAAAAATTTTCAAACAATCCAGACATTTATAAAATGAAGAGTTATTCCAGACACAGTTGCTGGTAACAGTTGCAAGTGTATTCTTCAAGACCCTCCTCTCTATTTATGAAGTTATATCCACCTCTCCTGCACACATAATTATTACTCTTCCATAATTTCTTTTCTCACTTGAGTGTCACGGACATGGTTCCATGTCGTCGCAGGCAGCTGTACCTCATTCTTCCTTACAGCTGCCTAGTATTCTACTGTGTGGATGTATCATAAACTATGTCTTTGATCTCACACTGAGAGGCATTTGGGTTGATTCCCAGGCCCCTAATTGCATTCTGGTTCCAGAAGGCTCCCTCTCTCCTGCCCACTTTTACTCTTTTACTCAGCAGCTTACCTGGCTTCTCTGCCACAATCCTGCCTGTAACCTTTGGCTCCAGCTCTCTGTTGCCACCTTTTTGGATAGAAAACCCAGGTTTGGACAATTTACTCAGCTGTGAATTTGGTTCCTTTCATATTATGATTTATTTATTCCTTCCTTCCTTCCTTCCTTCCTTCCTTCCTTCCTTCCTTCCTTCCTTCCT